TTGAATATTTTCAGGAAATATATAAAAAAATTCAAAATCGTTCAACAATCGTTGCATCATTTAAGAAACAACATGCAGCGAACGAAGATGGATTAATTACCACTTATCGCATTTCACAATTAATTGCAAAAAGTGGTAAAAGCTATAATATTGGAGAAACTGTAATAATACCCTCTATAAAAGAATTTATCTCAACAGTAATGCATCAGGATATACCTGAAATTTTAAAAACGTTGCCCCTAAGCGATAGCACAGTAAAGCGACAAATTGAAGAAATGGCAGTTAATGTTGAAAAAAAACTGATAAGTATTCTCCAAAACTTTTCATTTTCCATGCAATTGGACGAGTCTACCATTGCAGATAATAATGCTTTATTAATGGCATATGTACGTTATTTTGATGAAAACAATACATTACGAGAAGAAATGTTATTCGCAATAAATCTCATTATAGACACAAGAGGATTATACTGTGAAATCATACTTTACAAAAAATAATACAAATAATATTTGAATAATATTGTTGCATGCGCTACTGATGGAGCACCATCAATGGTAGGTCGCTATTGTGGATTTGTTGCTTATTTGAAGGAAGAAGTGCCAAATGTTTTATGTATTCATTGTGTGGTGCACAGACAACATCTTGTAGGAAAATATCTAAGTACAAGTCTCCATTCATCATTAACTATAATAATTTGAGCCATAAACAAGATCAAATCCAATGCAAACAATGATAGAATATTTTGTCAGCTTTGCCAGGACAATAATGTAGATTTTATTACATTACTTTTGCACACACAGAAGTTTGTTGGCTGTTAAAGGGTACATTTTTGGCTTGTTTTGTAGCATTATATGATAGTGTCATACATTTTTTTGAAAGTAATAATGAAACCAATCTGTGTGAACAGTTAAAAACAGTAAAGAATGATGCTTTTTATTTGGCAGATATTTTCAAGAGATTTCATGATGTCAATTTGCAGCTTCAAGGAGCTAATAAAACTCTTATAGGTTGCCAAAGTATTGTGTCATTATTTATTGACAAACTTGAACTACTTAGTTATAATCTATTGAAGAGAGAATTTCATCAGTTTCCTGAATTATCATCTATAAAAGATGATGTAACTCCAGAGGATATTGACAGATTCAGTAGCCTCCTCAACGAACTTAAATTGGACATGGAAAAACAATTTGAAGATATTTTGAAATTGAAGGTATATGACTGGATGAAAAATCCTTTTACTGCAAATATTGAAGAGGCTGATACAACTTGCCAAGAAGAACTGTTAGAAATTAGATATGATAAGAAAGTAAACATAAATTCGATAGTGGTGGATATGAAAATCTATGGCGGACTGTGTTGTTTGGCGACCCCCGTGAAATGGTCATTCGACCCCAAATGGGGTCCCGACCCACAGGTTGAGAACCGCTGATTTATACTGTTATAACTATGTATCCATAGTTCTATTACATCAGTGGTTCTCAACCTGTGGGTTGGGACCCCATTTGAGCTCGAACGACCATTTCACGGGGGTCGCCAAACAACGCAGTCCGCCATTTTCCCCCTTTTCCTTAGCTGTGCTACTCCCTTTTATTCTATTGGTTTTTGAAAGCCAATAGAATAGACTCTCTTGAATAGAGTCTAATTCTATTGGCTTTCAAAAGCCAATAGGAATTGTCCAGGCTGTCTCTGCCCTGCTGAGCCCGACAAAAGTCCCATTCTGCAAATGGTGCTGCAAGTTGTCTGCAGCGAAGGCGAGCTGTCTGGAAGTTTCCACCCCTCCCTGCTGAGCAACTACTAAAAATGTAAGTAAAAGAGGGCTAGGGGTGGGAGGTGGGAGGCCGGCAGGCGCAGGGAGGGTTGCTGGCGTGCGTGGGGCCTGGTGGGTGCCTTACCTCCCTTAGGCTGGGCCAGCTGGTGGCCCAGCCGGTGGTTGGCCTGCGCCATCTCTGCCGCTTGCCAGCTACGCCTCGGCTGGCGCAGGGGGTGGCACCACGCATGCGCGGCACTCTCAGGCAGGGAAAGTCCTCGACTTACGACCGGTTGGGTGGTCTTCGACTTACGACCGGTTGGGTAGTCCTCGACTTACGACCGGTTGGGGGTTGCGGCATTAAAAAGGTTGAGAACCACTGTATTACATTCTATTACAAACCATAAATGTAACTACCATGCTCCCCTTATGCTACTAAACTGATCAATCACCTAAATGCTTTTGCAATCTGAACAAAATTTGACTGCATCCAAAATCAGCCTCCGATTATTTGTATTTTGCAATATAGTCATTTCCCCAGCAGAATTTTACATTGATGTTCAAGAAATCCAGTACTCTATACCATTTCCGATACAGTATTACCTTTTCTGATGAACAACAAAATGCAGAGCATACACACTAAAATTTTAGGGAATGTATGGATACACTTATGGAGAGGCTGCGATCTGCTGCATAAGAATTACGTAAGAATAATTCTGCTGGATCTAATCAAAATTGAGCACCCTATTTTCCACAGTAGCTAACAAGATGTAGTATTGATGGGAAATTGGCTAGCAGATGTGATCCAGGGCATGTCCCACTTATGCTAACCATGATAGTAAAGGCAATACTGAATTATCACAATTATATACCTTTATTGTAATGAATTGGCCTAACTCCTTTTAAAGCTGTCCAAGTTGCAGCCATCACAATTTGCTTAAATGTATATTGCATCTTGAATTTCCTTCTCTATATTGTGAAAAGTGGATCTTCCCACGACCTAGCTTAACTCTCTAAGACTTACATTTTAGTGCTGCTTTGAGTTGGTTGGCCCTAGGGAATTTTCCAACTATCATGGCAGGCATGTGAGTAGTGTTCAGTCTTATCTGTTCCATCTTATTTGTCCGAACGTATCCAAGCTGTTCTGTTGGTGCCCAGGCTGTTTCTATAGTGAGATGTCCTGTATTTATTTTTAAATCATTCAGTGATCTTCCAAATTTGCATCTATGTTAGCACATGTTAGCAAACAGGGCTCCTAGTCTTTCAGTTACACATTTTATGGCTATATCTTTACCTTCTTCTCTTTCTTCCAGCTAATAGTATGTCATGATATGCCAAAGATGCTTTTTCATGAGGTAGCTAGACTTTCTTGTTTTTCTTTGAAGACATTTAGCTTCTCATCCAAGAAGCTTCTTCAGCTCTGACTGGATGGTAGGGAAATGGAAGGATTTATACTCCTGACCACTACCTGACCAATACCTATTTTACATACAATGAAGGTTTCTGCAGACAAAAACACAGCTGCGCTATGTGTCCCCCATTGTGGCCAATCTCTACATGGAAGAGGGAGAAACCAAAGCCCTAAACTCTTTCACAGGAATTCTACCCACTCACTGGAATAGGTATGTGGACGATACTTGAGTCAAGATCAAAGCACAGGGATTCGAAGCGTTCAACAAACACATCAACACTGTGGACAGATACATCATATTCACATGGGAAGATGTTAAGGAAAATAATCTGGCCTTCCTGAACTGTGCAGTACATATTAAGGAAGACAGAAGCCTTAGCATTAAAGTTTACAGACACCCCCCCCATGGATCAATATTTACATTTTGATTCTCACACCCACTGGAGCACAAAATGGGAGTTATCAGAACCCCAAACCACCAAGCTGAAGGCCTGCCTACCAACAAAGATGGAAAGAAAAAGAACAAAAACATACCAAGGAAGTCCTCAGAATATGAGGCTATCCCAAGTGGGCCTTCATCAAATACCAAAAAAGACCCAGCAGGAGCTCCTCCATAACAGACAAAGAAGAAAACAATAAACGAAGCAACACTGTCATTCCATACATTGCAGAAATATCGGAAAAGCTCAGTAGGATCTGCAGCCAACACAACACATGTGCGTACTTCAAACCCATGAATACACTAAGGCAGAAGCTTGTCCATCCCAAGGATAAAACACCCAGACACAAACTGAGCAACATGGTATATGTAATACAATGCAGTGAGCCATGTGCAAATCTGTACATTGGGGAAACAAAACAACCACTTCATAAACGCATGGCACAACATAGGAGAACAAACCCATCAGGACAAGACTCAGCAGTCCATCAGTATGTAAAAGACAAACACCACTCTTACAAAGACAGCAAAGTCCACATTTTGGACAGAGAGGACCGCTGGTTTGAAAGAGGGGTCAAAGAGGCCATCTATGTCAAAATTGAACAGTCCTCTCTCAACAGAGGGGGAGGGATACAACAGCTTCTATCTCCAATCTATAACACAATCCTTTCAGCAGTTCCATTTGCACTACAGGTGACCCTGATGACACAGATAAACCTCCAGGTGGCCTCAACCAATCTCTAAAATAATGCAAATGTCTAGCTGTCTGCAAGAAGTATAAATCCTTCCATTCCCACCATCCAGTCAGAGGTGAAGACGTTTCTTGGATGAGAAACGAAATGTCTTCAAAGAAAAACAAGAAAGTCCAGTTGCTTCGTGAAAAAACATCTTTGGGATAACTAGGACCTGGATGCCTGAGAATCTCCATAGACATTTATGTCATAATATGTTTGCTTACTCATAAGCTGCACATTATCAACAAACATGTCCTGATTTTCAGCTCAGAATGTGAGACCAAAGAATAAACATTAAAATGCTTTACTATACAGTATCTTTGATTACATGAAAAAAAATGAAGACTGCTTGTTAACTAAAAAGGATAGTAGTGAGTATGGAGGAGGGAGGGGAGAAGTAACAGATGAAGCCATTCTTAACCATCTTTACAGACTGTTGGAAGAACTTCTGGAATCTGTATCAGTGATTTAAAAAAAATGGGCTAGTTGTTTAATAACTCTGAGAACATGCACTTTCTACAGTATGTGTGTGTTCGAGACAGAGATGAAACGAATCACTGGGTGTTATGTAAAGAGAACAGGAAGGAGACATTATGCTGTTGTTGTATAACTCAATTTTCCAAGAACATTGCATTAGTCAGATGTCAGTTAAATAAAGATAGGGTGGAATATAGAATTTAGCTTTGTTATATTATGAAAGGGCGCGGTTATTTAATAACAGACTTAATTTTATGGGAGAAGCTGATTATCTCTTGAAAGCTTTTGATCTCTACAAGTACTTTCAGTGCTGCAAAACATGAGAATAGAGAGAGATTTCCACAACAGTTGTCTTCCCCACGATTTTTTTAGCTGCTTTTCATAAGTCTCCCTGAACTGGAAGCAAAAGGTAAGATTAACAAAAGAAATGATATCTTGTGTGTATGTTGGTGGGAGTTAGGAATAATACCCATTCAATTTACCAGAAGAGATACCTCAACAGAAAGTCAGGACATATTTTCAGAGCACCATGACATGGTATAACGGTCCTAAGTTACAGGATAGAAAATTCCAATTGAATGTTATGAAGGTATTCTCAGAGATAGGGCAGTTTAATAGGGAGTCAATTTAGATTATGGACTTCCCTTTGCTGGATGTATTCAAGCAGAGGCAGCATAGCCATACTGTATATCATAAATGCTTTGAGTTCTTTTTCTATACTACAGGTAGTGCTCGACTTACAACCATTTGTTTAGTGACCATTTAAAGTTACAATGGTATTAAAAAAGTGACTTATGGCCATTTTTCAAACTTAGGGCCGTTGCAACACCCCCATGGTTTTATGATCAAAATTCAAGTACTTGGCAATTAGTCCATATTTATGACTACTGCAGTGTTCCAGGGTCATGTGATCACCTTTTGCAACCTTCTGATAAGCCAAGTCAATGGGGAAACTAGATTCAGTTAGCAACCTTGTTACTCACTTAAGAACTGCAGTGATTCACTTAACAACTGTGGCAAGAAAGTCATAAAATGGGCAAAATGCATTTAACAACTCTTTCACTTAGCAACCAAAGTTTTGTGTTTAATTGTGGTCGTAAGTCAAGAACTACCGTATTTTTCTGTCTATAAGATGCACCCTTGTATAAGACACTCTGGCATGCAAGTTTCTCCGCGTTGAACAGCTGAGCCGGCAAATCTGGAAGTTCGGCCAGCCGACGATCTTGCCCCCTCCCTTCTCCCGTTAGTGGCAAGCCCACAGGGCCTTGGCACCTGCACCAGGTGGCATGGCAACCCACACAGGCATGCCCTGGGCTGTGGAGGTTACCATTATTTTTCCGTGTATAAGACGCTGCACTTGTATAAGACGCACCTAAGTTTTGAACAGGTTGTTTGCAGGAAAAAATAGCGTCTTATACATGGAAAAACATGGTACTTGTACTAGGCAGTAGAATTTGAAGGCTAATATGGTCCTTTCAACTCTAAGAGTCTAAATCATATCTGTTATTTTATATAAGAAAGAAATACATGCATATAGCCTTTTTTTAAAAAAAGCTTAGGACTGAAAAGGGAATAGAAAGTGAATGTTGTTTGTCTGGAGCTTTACGGCTTTTTCCTCTAATTACATTGTTCTTTCTGCATAGTATTTCCATTTATGAAATAGTGACAATAAGGGGAAAAGTTTGGTTTCACTATAGTTGGATTTCCACACTGCAGTTATATACTGTAAGTTCAGGAAGTTTCAGGAAGTACGCCATACGTCTTGTGTCCCTTGGTGGTCTAGTGGCTAGAACTACGATAATGAAGATAATAATACTTTATAAGAGTTCTGTCTCTATTCACAAAAGGCTCATTACTTCTGCCATGCTAATTTCTTCTGCCATACCAGTTCCTAAAGTTTTATTTTAAAAGAGTTAGGAAAGGTCATTTTTGTATTTGGAATATTATTATTTTATTAAATTTGAAAATTGACCGTCAGCCTTAACCCATTGCACTAGGTTTTGATTTTTGTCTTGCTAGGTACTAATCCTTTCATTTTTTTATTTTTTATTATATGCTTTTCATGGACTCATAATATTCAATATTATGATGCACTCTCACCGTCATTGTCTGATACAGTGCAAAACTGTAATGAATTAAAAGCAAGAAAGAGCGGAATCCATCTTTTCTAGAAAAGGCAGAAGTTATATTTATGTTCTGATTGGTCACCTTCCCTAACTTGCTGAACTCCAGATGAATTGAACTACAATTCCTATAATCGTCATCTCTCTTCTATAAATAAGGCATAGAACAATTAGATATTAGGGTGGCCTACAAAGTATCCTGAAGGAGAAGAAAAATTCTAATATTAGTTTGAACATTCAGAATGGGACTCAAAATGTCAAGGGGCAATATATGACATCAATGGAGGAAATTTGCAGTTATAATTTTTTTGTTATAAAAAAAAATTAGATGACATATATCAATTTTGACACCACAAATGGTTTTGTGCTTTCAGAGTTTAGAAGAACAACCATTTTCTCAGTATTTGATGTAAAGAGACATCAACACCTTCCACATATAATGTAGACAGTCTATAGCAGGGGTGACGTGTTGCGACATATCACGACTTGTATGCCTGGCAATGGGGTGGGTGCGGTTTTGCTATGATGCCTCCAGCCCACCAGCCAGCAGTTTGACACTCCTGGTCTATTTTCCATTTTAAGACTGACTTTAAATTAGAGATATACTGTAAATGCCGGCGTATAAGGCGATTTCCGCAAGCGCTGAAATCGGCGCCAAAGACGGGGGTCGTCTTATACGCCGAGTCATCTTATACGCCGGAAATACTGGTAGTTTCCGCTGTATAAGACGATGTTCTAGGAATGCGGCCCGGCGATAAAGACGGGGGTCGTCTTATACGCCAGGTCGCCTTGTACGCCGGCATATGCGGTACTGTATTCTGTAGACTTAACTTAGTTTAGAGATTGGCTTCTTCCCCATGCCTTTTCTTTTTGCTAACATCTTGCCTGAGGAATGCTTCTAGAGAGGTCAAAAGAAAGTTTGCACATTCCATTTCCATTAAAGCCAATAGTCCAGGACTCAAAGTCATTCTGCCTTGGAGAGAATCTGAGCATGTTTCTTCCCATCCTCATTCAAAATCTGACAACACCCAGGTCAGCACTTCTACTGCATTTTTGTTATGAGGCCAAAATATATAACTGGATATCATCAGCATAATGAAGATACCTGATCCTATGCTGACAGTTGACCTCTCCTGTCGTTTCATGCAGTTACTGGAAAAGTGGAATACTAGAGTGTAGTGGTGCACAGAACAGACATCTCTAAGTAGATCTCTCTTTCCTCTCCACTTTAGACTAGTTCTGACTTCTTAGGAGAAAAGAGAGCCATCAAAGGCTGCTGCCATCACTCCAATCCTTTGATCCAAAAGGATACTATGGCTGATGGTATGACACCATTGAAAGATCAAGGAGGACAACTTTTAGCTTGAATCTGAGTGAATTTGTCTGCCAAAAGTCATGAGAATTTTTCACAATGGGATTCTTCCACATCTTCCTCATCCCTACAGGGAATAGGTTGCCTTAAAAAGGGTCACTGGGCATACAGTAATTCAACAGAGGTAATAAAAATGGCAAAATATTTTCTTTTTGTCACCTAAGTCCCATGGCATAGATTCAAACACACACTTATACCACTGAACAGTAAGATTCCTCCAATAGCATTCTAGATGCCTCCTCTGCTTAGTAGTAAGATCTAATCACCACCAGCTTTCTGGAAATGAATTTTCCAGAAGAAGAAACGGTTCTTAGAAAATTATCTGACTATAACTGGATTGATGCATCTGGAAAAAAAAATAACATGAACTTTCCTGGAACATCCTGTTTCTATTACACTGAAGTTTGCACACAAATATCTAGAACTGTTGAACTTGACCAAATATTGCCAATTCTTTTCCACTTATAAAAGTACTTCTCAAACTTTACTGTTCCTAGCCAGAGGTTTCTCCAAAAACAAAGGAAACAATTAATACAAAAATTGAATTATAAGTTGCCTAGAGTCATTGACTAAGATGAGCAGCTATAGAAAACAAACAAACAAATACATAAATAAATTATCTTTTTCCTGACATTATGTTGCCAAAGTTTAGGAAACATTATGAAATGTTTATAGGAACTGCTGAAATATGTTTTTCTATTTGTTTATATAATCTGTCTTGTTTGCAGTTTCTACTATGTTTATTGTGGAGGCTAAAGAAGCTTCTAGATTAGTATTAAATATTTAGCCCTAAGGATTTCCAGTTACATAGTACAGATTTTTAAATACAATGAACTGATTGCATATGAACAATTGTGTTGCTGCTTTCAAAGAAAGTACACTTGCTACTGTGTTACAACTGCATATGCATATGCAGTTCATAATTACATTAGACCAGTCCTGCTGATTCAGGTCAAGAATCATTTTAATCTGGCAGAATCACTTCTATCCACATACTCTTAAAAACCCCTCTAAGTCTAGAACAGGGGTGTCAAACTCATTTTCATTGAGGGCTGCATCAGCATTGCGGTTGCCCTTGGGTGGCCAGGTGGGCATGGCCTACTGGGTGGGCGTGGCCAGATCTACATCGTTCGCGTCAAGGGTGCCTGTGGGGGCCTGGGCAGGAGTGAGATAGATGTTCGGTCTCTGGCAGAAAGGGGTGGGACCAGGGCAAGAGCCAAGTCATGGTCCACTGGAGGAGCCTCACTGTGAGGAGAGCGCCCCGCTGCCTGCCGAAACCAGGCAGGCTGGGACCTGGGTGGCCTCGCACTTCTTTTTGGATTTGCACTGCCTGGCTCAGCCTCTCGGCGCTATGAGAGAGCACCCCGCTGCCTACCAAAATCTCTCCCCCGAAGCCCATCAAGCTGGATATGTGAAGTAGGCCAGGGCTATTTGCTGGCCATTGTGCATTTCATCATTCCTCACAAAGGGTGACACCTCCCTAGCATGCACCCAGGAGGCGGGGCTGATGCAGCCGGGGCTGATTCCTCACTGTTTCCAGATGGCCTTGTGGAGCTAAGACTGAATGCGTTTCAGCATAGATGGCCACCACAAAATTGTACATGGATGGCCTGGGCCAGGGTCAAGGCAGCAGGGGCTGTTTCATCACTGTTTCCAGGATGGCTTCGCGGGCCACATGAAACCACTTTGCGGGCCGCATCCGGCCCCTGGGCCTTGTGTTTGACATGTCTGGTCTAGAAGATCGGTTAAGGCAGGATTTAACTTTGCAAAATTCATACATGTTTCCTTTTATGAAGTTTGTTCTTCATGTGCTTATTTTTTCTTTATTACAATTTCAACAATTTGCTTGGAATAGATGCTAATGTTTCAACCCTACAATTTTTTAAATGTGCCATATTAGCTACATTCCAGTGT